AATCTTGTAATTGCTGTAGTTGTAATCATATTTTGAGTTAATAGATGGAAAATTTGTCGGGTTTTTAATTACTGTACAAAATTTCAGACAATTTGGTTTAGTTTAAGCCCTTTAACAATTCACGCAAAGTTGCATTTTTCCTAAAAATCAGCTATTTGCATGCTTAATTAATGCCTTTGCCTAATTTGCATATGTCAGCAATATGCAAATTAGGTAAAGGCATTATTAAGCTTGCGAAAGGCTGATTTGTTAGAATAAAATGAATAGTTAAAGGGCTTAACTAAATTGTCTGAAATTTTGTACAGTAATTAAAAACCCAACAAATTTTCCATCTATTAACTCAAAATATGATTACAACTTTTAAATTTCGTGCGCAAGTCATTTTCAGTTTGTTGGAAAAGACACCCCCCCCCCCTGGTTTACAAAATTTGAGTTCGAGAAATTTTTTTCATTGTTCTACATTATAAGTACCCAAAGAAGCTATGTATATAAAAAACCGGATACAACTAGGTGTTTTGCGAAATTGAGAGCAATTTCAAATCTGTTCAGTTTTTTTTTATACACCCTGTATGTATACACTAGATAGTGCATCCAATTATTCTGCAATTCAAAAATTGAAGCCGTGATTGCAGTCTCAGGTCGTTCCCATGAAATTAGCAGATTCGTATGTTTTCTATTTCAAAAACAGAGAATTTAAACATTAAGTTAACCCTATTCCAAATTCCGTTTTAAAATATTCAAATGATGAAAGATATTGTTGTTTTTTAAGCGTTTATTAGCGAGTGGGAAACTCCAACATGGCCACCATCTATTCAAATGGGGGTAACCGCTGGAATATTCTTGGCTTCAATTTTACTAAACGAGATGCGCTATCTAGTCTATATAAGATATCTATGGATCAGACATGAGTCATAAGGTGGGTGCCAGAGGCGCCCTTAGAAAGTCTTCTGCGTCCTTCGTAATTCAGCTTAGCTCTCAGCTGCAAGTATAAGGATGATAAGCATATATACTCCCACCAACTAACTTACTTATAGGGGGGAAAGATGATGGCGCTAATCAATGTAAATTAAGTTACTTGGACTGGACAATATTTTGGTTTTGTACTAGACGTTGAGGAAGGACATTTTCGAACTAATACAGCGAGCTATAAATCTTCTATCATCAACGAGTGGAATCAACTCTAAAATAGACAATTCCCATTATAGACTAATTTTAAAACTAGGCAAGGAGATGCAAATAAATCACTACAGCTAGAAAGAGCATACTAAAATGAGTAAAATTGTGTAAACTAGTTTGATTAATTGCGAAATGTTGTAAAATGCGGAAAATATAGTCTTGCAAATTTTGTATACTTTTGTGTTGCGTGCGGAAATTGCTACCATTTTTGGCCCAAATGTGCTAGCAATTTGTGATTTCAAACAAGAACAGCTGTCGAAATTGCGTTTTTTCGTCATAAAATATTTTATAAGTAACACATGCATGCAGGTATGAGTTTTATTCTAGTTCCTTGCATAGCTCTACTCGTGATCTTCATGACTGAATAAATTCTAGAACAGTGGAGTTAAGATGATCAGAGAAACCGTGATTAAGAAACTGGTCCAATTTTATGCAAATTACTAAATTACCAGAAACACAATTTCAATTTGTGCTCAAACGCTGAGTGTATATGAATCTTTACAACCATAAAAATCGTGACTACAGCTATGCAAGGAACTATAATAAAACATATACCTGTACTATAGACTATTTTAAGATGGAAAAATGTAATATGCATATTTATTCCTGTCGAGCCACCTTAAGGCTGCTTTCCAGTTATGCGTTTTTCGCACGCACGCACGCACGCACGCACGCACGCACGCACGCACGCACGCACGCACGCAAGGAAATGTTTAAACCTTGGTAAAGGTTTTTATATTTAACAAATCAATTTACAAATGCACACAAACGTGGGTGAAAAACGCAGGCGCCTTATAGGTACTAAATTGTCTGATCGAGTTCTCTCTCTTTTCCTATAGCATGGCGCGCGACATTCCATTTCGGAGACCACTTTGGTTGCCTCAGGAGATCGTTATACCTCCTCGCTTGCAGACATGTGATAGAGTTAGCAGATATTGTACCGACACATATAAAGCTAAACGAAGGGCCATTGGTTTAAAATTGAACGCACGCATCGTGCACGAAAAAAAAACAACGTCTGATCTTAAGAAAAATGATATCCTCGTTGGAGACATAGTTGCCAGTACTATACTAGTTGGTGGTGGTGCCGCTCTTGGTGCCGCAGGTGGCGCCGCTCTTGGAGGCGCTGCAGCATTAGGTGCAGAGAAAGGCGCCGAAGTTGGATTAGTAGGTGGAGGACCTCTTGGGGCAGGCATTGGGCTTGTAGCTGGTGCAGTGGGCGGAATTTTTATTTTCTGGGTGGGAAAAAAGATGTTTAAGCCTAAAGAGGAAGAACACACGATACAAATTGATAGGTACACGCGTAAGCCAGCAAAGACCGTTGGTGATCCTTCACCGTTGAATCTTCGCGACCAAGTCACAGAAAGAGAAATCGAAATTAATGCTGCAATTAACCCAATCCACGCACTTGGCGAAGACGCTAAACAATGGTATTATTTGGCTCGTTTAGGCCGTTATTGTTGGATAGAAAGAGGTCAAGTTGATGATCCAGCCCAACACAGGCTTGCTGCAGAATGCGCATACGATATTGCCACTGCGTGTCATATGAACCTTGGCGTATTTCAGTGGCCATGAGGCATGACGTCTATGAGAAACATAAATATGTAGTTTGTAAGCATGAAAGCATACCTGACAAAAACATCGCTTGTAATTACAGTAATACAGGACCATCTGATAGTATATACACGCTATTATAGCTCGTTTTGAACATGCGAAGTGACGTCATACTGTAGATGTGTTTATAATAGATAAATAGATAAGTTCTTTAATAATTTTACATTGGAGCCCTCAATAGTATACGCACGATTCTGGATATTAATTGTTTATAATATTGGTCATAGAGGCCAGTGTCAGAATATTACTAGGTAATGAGTCTTAATTATTATACGCATATTACCTAATTTATCCGTACTATGGTATTTGTTGTTGGGTATATTAACATGATTATAAAGATGGATCTTGGAAGCTCGATGTGCGTGTAAGCTAGGCTGTATGTTGTTGTAGATAACCAATTGTCGTAATGCGCGCGCTATTTTCTCTCTGATAGATGAAAAACAAATTTTGAAATCGTCAGCTAATTTTGGTGCATCTTTGCTTGGTTTTGATTTCTGTTTTCTGAATAGAATTTCATTATTGACTTTCAAAAAGCTCCAGAGTTATTTTGCATTTGTTAATCCCTTTGCTGATGTAATGCTTTTGACGTTGTCCTAATTTTGATTTAACGGAATTTCGGGCATTTTAATGGTTTAACTAATCAATGGACCTTTCACCTTTTGACTAAAATTTAGATCTCAACAAGTGCAGCACCAGAACCAACAGTGCAACACAGCCTTGTTCGTAGATTTCCTCCACGTGTTCGGCAGCTTGCTTGTTTCTGCCTCACGTGTCAGTCCCGTATCTTTTGAGTTTTTAACCAAATCAGGTTTGCCATTTTGTTCAGAGACAGTGCATCCTGCGATCCAACAACGAAAACTATTGCCTTTGGTGAATTGTTCTGTGCAAGTCGGGGTGAAAGCGCTGCATTATGAGAATCTGAATACAGTAAAACCCCGCATATAAGAACCTAGATTTTCCAAGTTAGCCTAAACAGGTTCTCATGTAAATGGTGCTTACCAGGAAATTATGCTAAACAGGTTCTTAAATAGGTTCTTATATTCTTAAGAGAAAAGCCTTGCCCCTGCGTCAGCATCACAGAACTCTCAAAAAGAGAATGAGGTGAAGAAATATAAATCATGTGTGGAGAACTATAAAATTGTACTGCAAGAAAATAAATTAGGTGGTGCAGCCACGCAATCAATCCCAACAAGAATTGCAGCCTATTTGAGCATAATACTTGCACACAGGCGGGAACTCCGAATGTATTTACAGAAAGCGTTGGATTTCGAAAGACTCAATACTGCCTCATCCTCAGTCGCTTTCAAAGGGGGGGAGAGGAAAACGAGAAAAATTCTCCGGCACTGATATCACAGCCACTGATCTATATAGATTGCAATTGCACACTGCACTGTGCCCAACGAAGAGCCTGCGGAGGAGGCAGGACTCAATAGACGAATCTGAGTATCAGAGAAACCGCTTTCGGCTGCAAGGGTTGCCACGCCAATGTGAAAACTGTGCTGTTTATACTGAGTAGGATTCAGGCTGCAAGTTCGAAAAATTGGCTAGATTGGTTAAAACAATTCGATCGGCTAAGAGCTCACAGTTAAATCGCAAAATCACACAACCTACAGAAAATTCAGTTATCTGCTAGCAGATAACTGAGTTATCTGCAAATGAGCCTGCGATGATTAGCAAACACTGCGGTATCTATTTAACACAAACATTCGGTTTTTGCGATATGCAAAATTATCAAGGTCTCGGTAAGCGTTATCAGCCTCGCCGAACGCTTAGCTCAACCTTGATTCTGCATATCACAAAAACCTCATCCAATATTTGTTAATTATTTGCCTTATCCATTGATGGATTTTATAAATGGGAATCATCCTATTTCCTATCTTCAAAACCATTAACATTTTTGGAAAAAAATTTCCTGCAAATAAGTGTACAATTTGAGGAGGCCCTCGGATTAACAGAAATTCTCTCACATGAAATTAGGCAATGAAAATGGAACTTACAATTTGCTGGCATTGGTTGTTTGGGAACATCCTTTGAATCAGCAGTTACTGGTTCAGGAGAGAATGGACATTTCTTTGCACCTTCTAACAATATAAACATAATCCATAATTTCTTATGTTAAACACGTAAGAAAGAGGCGAGCACTGAGTAGGCTGTAGACATAGACTTGCTGCAAGTCTCTCTTTCATTGTCATTTAGTATCGATCCACTATAGTATATATTACATGACGTAGTACGGAGGGGCGGAGCGAGAAAGAGAGACTTGTCAACTTCGGAAAATAATGCAAGGCTTGCTTTAATTGTTTTCTGTCAGTGTTTATATGTATTGATCTAGCACAGTGTAAATAACATGAGTTCCATTATAGTAAATAATACAGAAAGAAATTGAAGAAAAACAATTAAAGCAAGGCTTGCATTTTCGGCTCAGTTTTGAACTGAGATTTTCCGAAGTTGACAAGTCTCTCTTTCTCGCTCCGCCTCTCCGTACTACGTCATGTAATGTACACTATAGTGGATCGATACTATATGACAATGAAAGAGAGACTTGGAGCCAGTCTACTGTAGACATGGCCAAAGAGGAAGAGCCCACCTTTAGTCTGGGATACTGGGTCTAGCGGTGAAGGATAAGGAGACTCAAGGAAAGATTGGAGCATGGAACAAACTAAGACTGAAACAAACCTTGACTGGCAGCAGGTTTTCTCTCAGAGACTTGAAAGATTCCTTGGTCAGCTTTTGCAACAACAATGTCCTGCAATACTTTCTCATTAGGTTTTTGAATCTTGAGACCAGAGTCAACCAAGAATGGACACTTGTCAAATGTTGCTCCTGCAAAAGTAAACGAGAGAGATCAATAAATACTGTATAATTAGACTAATTAACCCGTTGAGTCACAGCACTCTCTCCTTGACAAGTAAAATTAGAATTATGTAGTGTGTCTGTTTTGATAAAGTAGGCGGCTGTGGGAGGGGTGGTCTAGGGAGTCTTAAAGTCATCCAAATTAACTAGTGTACATTGATTAGACAGCAACACAACTGAAAACAATGTAACATTACTTTCATTCTTCAACAAGATAACTTCAAGATTTAAGATGGCAAATAATTAAATCAGTTTTACGAAATACTAAGGATAATTCAAGTAGTAATAGTTAAACAGAGTAACCGGATAGTAAACAAAGTAACCAGCGGTAAACCTTGTGGCACCAACCGCAGCACCGGCGGGCGGCGGCTTATTTTCACAGCCCTGTAAGTAAGAAACCTTAATCCATCATTGCCAGGTATTGATAAATTCATTGACAAAATAATGTCCTGTATTTTTCATGGTGAATAACAATGAAAAATACAGCTGTCCAGTTTTTGAGGAATATAAACAAAAATTGAAATGTATTTCTATTCTTGTATCCTCAATGGTTTGATTTTGTTCATGAATTTCAGATTCACCCAAATAAAGCCTCAATATCCTATGTCCTTCTAGTACAGTAGTACTGTTGATATCCTAACTCATTAATATACACCTAAAGACACCCTCACTATCTGCCCATGTGTCAAGTTAACCCATTAAGTTGCATTGTACCCTAATGCGCCCTACTTTATTATTTGACTGTCTAACGCCCGACAATTTTACTTGTCAAGGGGAGATTGCTGGCATTCAATGTTAATGAAACTACTGGTACATGAACATAATAAACTTCAACATACAGGGCTGTTTTTCACTTTAATTAAGCATACCATATTGAAACACATAAAAAACAATTTTAAATTTAAAAATTTAGCGAACGTTGATTGTTTTAATATTTCTGCAGTACATCAAAAAGTTGACTTTTCATTCAAACTTTTCATTCGCCAGGAAGTATGTGAATTTTTCAACATATTTTCAACCTGCACATGCTCACCAGCATGTTTCGATACAGGCAAAGTTGAAGGCTTTAGAATGAGACCCCCACCCCTGAAAGTTCATAGCGTGGGATGTGCTATTTTGTTGCCTTATTTAGCAGTGGCTTGGGCACAGCTGTGTGCCCTTGGGAAGTAAAAAACAAAGGGAAATAAACCTCCCCTGGAGAGTTACTCTGGTAATCAGGAAGAGATAACTACAACAACAAAATCACAAACGTAGGAGGAGGAAACCGGCCTCTACATGTATATAATATCCGCAATTACAGTATGTGTTTATAGAAAAACTCCCGAAACAAAAATTTGCCCCGGGCCCCCGAATTTCTCTGATAGGCCCTGAATTGAGCTTTATCATTTGGGTGAATCTTAGCCTGCGAACAGGCTCTCAAGCTGAATTGAGAGCCTGCATCGATGACTAATGAATTTGAATATCTGCCCCGTAACGTTCGTTTTTCCAAATATGGAATGTCTATCCTTATATGGTGTTGTTTACAACTTTCGTGCAAACTAAATTTAGACCGTGCAAACTAAATTTAGACCGTACAGTTTATACTGTTTTTCGAAATATAAGATATTCAAGCAAAGTTTAAATGTTTTAAATACTGTTTTCTCAAATCAGAACATTTCGTGCTTTGAGATAAGATGGCCAAGACCAATTTGATCAGTTAATGTGCTTTTTATGCATAGTGCTTCAGCAGTTGACATATATAGAGCTCAGCGGAAACATATAAATTATAGCATCTGACCAATGAGAATTTCGCGTCACGATTTGAGACGCAGATATTCAAATTCATTAGTCAATGACTAATGGTCATCGATGCAGGCTCTCAATTCAGCTTGAGAGCCTGTTCGCAGGCTAGGTGAATCTGAAATTCATAAACATCAAACCATTGAGGATACAAGAATAGAAATACATTTCAATTTTTGTTTATATTTCCTCAAAAACGTCCAGCTGTATTTTTATTGATATTCATATCATGGTGAATAACAATGAAAAATACAGCTGGACTTTTTTGAGGAATATAAACAAAAATTGAAATGTATTTCTATTCTTGTATCCTCAATGGTTTGATTTAATTTGTTCATGAATTTCAGATTCACCCAAATAATAAAATCTCAATATCCTAACTGTGTCCTAGTATAGTAGTACTGTTGATATCCTAACTCATTAATATACACCTAAAGACATCTGCCCATGTGTCAAGTTAACCCATTAAGTTGCATTGTACCCTAATGCGCCCTACTTTATTATTTGACTGTCTAACGCCTGACAATTTTACTTGTCAAGGGGAGATTGCTGGCATTCAATGTTAATGAAACTACTGGTACATGAACATAATAAACTTCAACATATAGGGCTGTTTTTCACTTTAAGCATACCGTACTGAAACACATAAAAAACAATTTTAAATTTAAAAATTTAGCGAACGTTGATTGTTTAATATTTCTGCAGTACACCAAAAAGTTGACTTGCGACAAACTTTTCATCCGCCAGGAAGTATGTGAATTTTTCAACATATTTTCAACCTACACATGCTCACCAGCATGTTTCGATACAGGCAAAGTTGAAGGATTTAGAATGAGACCCCCACACCTGAAAGTTCATAGCGTGGGATGTGCTATTTTGTTGCCTTATTTAGCAGTGGCTTGGGCACAGCTGCGCCCTTGGGAAATCAAAAATAAAGGGAAATAAACCTCCCCTGGAGAGTTACTCTGGTAATCAGGAACAACAACGAAATCACAAACGTAGAAGGAAACTGGCCTCTATATAATATCCGCAATTACAGGATGTGTTTATAGAAACACTGAAACATATAAAGTTTCTTATATAACATGCAAATTATGGGTATCAAAACAAAGAATCTTAATTTTATTTGAACAACTGATAAAGTAAATACTACAGTATATATTTTAAACAAACTAACCCCCATCTTCAGAGCCAGAAACAGCTGGTTTTACACCTGAAATGAAAAAGCGTACGTGTACTTCAGAGATTGAATATAGACCACTTTTGTATGTAAAATTTTACACTTCACTTCACTCGAGGTAAATTTTGGATGACGGATATGAACGCAAGTATAAACCTCATAGCGCTGAATTGAACAGCTTCGTTCTTAAATAAATCCCTTCTATTTATCCAGGATAGCTTTAATTCATAAATTGGCTATGAAACGATACTTCAACTTTTACAAGCGGTCATGTATTGTCATTATTTTATATACTTCCTTTCACATAAAAAAATAATGAACTTTAAATTTCATTTTGTAATTATGTAATTTATGTTTACAATTTTTCACAACGGTTTGGGAAAGAAAAGCTTTGATACCATAAAACCCCAAATAAAAATGAACCCTAAAGCAACCACAACCTTAATAACAGCTTATTAAAACGTTAGACAAAACAAGAAGAAATACCTGAAGTGTGCAGCTGGCTGGCCGGGTGAAGAGAGTTCAAAACTCGCGACATCACGGGACAATTTCGAGCGAAATTCATCAAATGTGTACTCTTTGAACGAAGTACGGACATCGGCTGACGAGCCAGGAAAGGACAGCGAAGTAAACTCATGTTTTCTCGAGAAAATTGAAGTTAAAATACAAGATATTTTGATCTTTGAACACACTTTTCACTTGTAGTTTATTGTGCCTTGTACGGAAATCACTCACGTTCTGAATAAATTACTCATCGGTCATCGAATTTTATTCCGCATTTTTAATTTATTCAGTATCAATGTTTCCACTTTACAGGCATTGCAACATTATTAGACATTATTTTCCGTAAAATCTTGGAAATTCAAATCAAAATATTTCTCCGAAACGAGTCTTATATCTTTTACTCCTACATAGGGATGGGCGATACCAGCTTTTTCATTCGATACGATATTTCCTCGATATTTGCCGGGTTTTTTCGATATCGATACCGATATCGATATTTTCCCAACTCGAAGAACCATAACAACAAAAAGACTATTTTTAATCATTAACAACGGCAACAACGCTAACAATATAAACATTGAATAATATATGTCAGTGATTGCAACCAACATAACCAGAAACTCCCATCCTGCCCGTGGACCATTATAGCACCATAGAAAATGAACTATTTTTCTAGTATTTACGCCTATTTAATTTAGGTAACGGGTCCATGTCTCGCTGAAACCTATTATATCCTTTACTATCCCTAGTCTTGTAATCTTGTAATCCTTGTAATCTTGTCATTCTTCTAATCCTTCTAATCTTCTAATCCTTGTAATCTTCTAATCCTTGTAATCTTGTAATCCATGTAATCTTGTAATTGCTGTAATCTTGTAATTGCTGTAATCTTGTAATTGCTGTAATCTTGTAATTGCTGTAATCTTGTAATTGTTGTAATCTTGTAATTGATGTAATCTTGTAATTGCTGTAATCTTGTAATTGCTGTAATCTTGTAATTGTTGTAATCTTGTAATTGTTGTAATCTTGTAATTGCTGTAATCTTGTAATTGCTGTAATCTTGTAATTGTTGTAATCTTGTAATTGCTGTAATCTTGTAATTGCTGTAATCTTGTAATTGTTGTAATCTTGTAATTGCTGTAATCTTGTAATTGCTGTAATCTTGTAATTGTTGTAATCTTGTAATTGCTGTAATCTTGTAATTGCTGTAATCTTGTAATTGCTGTAATCTTGTAATTGTTGTAATCTTGTAATTGATGTAATCTTGTAATTGCTGTAATCTTGTAATTGCTGTAATCTTGTAATTGCTGTAATCTTGTAATTGCTGCAATCTTGTAATTGTTGTAATCTTGTAATTGTTGTAATCTTGTAATTGTTGTAATCTTGTAATTACTGTAATCTTGTAATTGCTGTAATGTTGTAATTGCTGTAATCTTGTAATTGTTGTAATCTTGTAATTGCTGTAATCCTGTAATTGCTGTAATCTTGTAATTGCTGTAATCTTGTAATTGCTGTAATCTTGTAATTGCTGTAATCTTGTAATTGCTGTAATCTTGTAATTGTTGTAATCTTGTAATTGCTGTAATCTCGTAATTGCTGTAATCTTGTAATTGCTGTAATCTTGTAATTGTTGTAATCTTGTAATTGCTGTAATCTTGTAATTGTTGTCTTGTATCCATGTAATCTTGTAATCCATGTAATCTTGTAATCCATGTAATCTTGTAATCCATGTAATCTTGTAATTGCTGTAATCTTGCAATCCATGTAATCTTGTAATCCATGTAATCTTGTAATCCATGTAATCTTGTAATCCATGTAATCTTGTAATTGCTGTAATCTTGTAATTGTTGTAATCTTGTAATTGCTGTAATCTTGTAATTGTTGTAATCTTGTAATCCATGTAATCTTGTAATCCATGTAATCTTGTAATCCATGTAATCTTGTAATTCATGTAATCTTGTAATTGCTGTAATCTTGTAATTGCTGTAATCTTGTAATTGCTGTAATCTTGTAATTGTTGTAATCTTGTAATTGCTGTAATCTTGTAATTGCTGTAATCTTGTAATCTATGTAATCTTGTAATTGCTGTAATCTTGTAATCCTTGTAATCTTGTAAT